TGGGGATCGAACTCGGGTCCTTGTGCTTATGAGGCAAGCAGCAGAACCACTGAGCTAAATCTCCGGCCCTCCAGTTGTCTTTTATGATTCTCTTACCTTTGTTTCAGCAAGCATAGTAAGTATAATTATTTTAAAGTCTTTAAAAATGTTATCTGGTCCTCCTTTCTTTTCCCTTTTTTTTTGTTCCTCTTAGTTGTTATTGTGTTTTCTTCTGTTCTCATGTGCCTGAGTATTTTTGATTGTGTAGCAGGCATTGTGTGTGAGAACTGGGCTGACACCTTGAGGATGAGGATGATACTGGCTTCTTCCAGCCAGCTAGGAAGTTCAGATCTTTTCAAGCTGAGCTCCACATCCTCCAAATCGAACTCGTATCTGATTGTAATTGATTATTTTGACTTTTACTTTCCTTGCTTTCTTGTGAGAGTCCTGCCTGTTAATAACAGAGCCACATGGGAACACCTGAAATTGGGTCCTATTTATAGGAAACCTTTCTGATTCTAGCTCAAGATGCTTAGCTTCACTCACTCACTGCCCACTGGGAAGCAATTTCTGTGGACTCAGAATCACCATGATGCCGATAACCTGCAATACCTTATGTTTTAAAAATAATGCTGTATATTCGTGGTGCATTTAAAGGTGTCTGGTTGCTTTCAGACTCCCTACTTAGTTTGGTGCTCTTGGAAGGGCATCTTAGTTTTGGTGTTTGATAGTCAAATAGTTTGTGGTTCAGTTAGGGCTAAGAGGTTTATCCATTGTTACGCATCTGGTGAATGCAAAGCACTCTTTTCCTCATTAGGTTTGAACGCATTAGATTTAACAAAGATCCTCTGGGCCTCAGGCTTCTCACCTCTTCGCTGGTGAGTCCATAACCTGCCTCTTTGGGATGCTGTGCAGATAATGACGTGAAAGACACTTGATGCAAAAGCATCCTTAGGGCCTCTGAGCCTGGGTCACATGGGCAGATACTGAGGGAAGCATTCAGACCACTGGCGCTTCCTTTAGTCTTTCCCAAGATCACAGCACCACTCCCCATGGTGAATGTAATCACTATGTATGGCAAACCCACACCAATAAACATTTTCTGGAAAGAAAACAGTACTGAAAATGGGAGGGCTTAGAAGCAAAATTGAGCAGCTGCCGATTCTGTCTGCTTGGGCCTGGGAAGTAGAGATGATCCCCAGACAGAGCCCGGGCGGCCCTGGCTCTTCTACTTACAGGGCAGGGAGAAAAGCCCTACTGTGTCCGCCTCATTCCCCTTTGGGAGCTGAGTGGTGCCTGTTGGGAAGAATTCTCATCCCGTGGGAAGGGTGCGCCCTCCTTCCCCTGTACCTTTGTGACCTAGGCCTGGAGCCCACTGTGTGCAGGAGCGAACTTGCAGCGTGAAGGGAGTCGGGCCTGGTTTGTCCTGTCTGACTCTCACGTGTAGCTTGGGTGTTTCAGCGTCAGGCAGCCATCCCAGTGCCCTTCTTCCCTTCATTCCCTGAAAAGAATGCCAAGAATGACGATTTGAAAGTTGCCGCCTTGTCTCCTTCCTCAACCCCAGGGAGGAAGGTTCGTGGCAGAGGTTCCTGAATGTCACTTAGTATCGTATGTGATGAGAACAGCTAATTAGCAGTGTTTCCAGATAAGAGTTGTCCCCCCAAAGAAAACCTCACAAAAATGAAAAGCAGAGCGAGATGGATTTGATTTGTGTAATCAGTACCAGGATATTTAATTTGTAAACAGGTAGCACTCTGTAACCTTCCAACCAGATTAAGTGGTGCTTTAAAATAGGAAAGTCTTAATCCTCTCATGTTTGTTTTTGCTTTAAAAAGTGATGGAGTACAAGAAGCCCAGTCTTTGTTCCTGTGCTACGTGAAATTGTAGGCAGGGTCTGCAATTTGCTGGTTGTGATGCTTGAGTGGAATAGAGATGTTGATGTTCACGAAGATTCCATTACTGCAATCGCACCGCGGCCCTTGAGTTTTGTGTTTATTTCTCCTTGGGAGCGGATCGGATTTTGCCTGAAGAGTGTGTAACATTGATTATCAGGCGTGGCCTGAGAGTGTTCAGCTTGAGAGCTAAATTTATCCCTTCTTTTCCCTCGCTTTCCGTCCTCCCCCACTCACCCTTACCCCAGCATTTGATATTTATCGAATGCCAATTCAGTATCAGAGAGGGTGGTTGGATGCTGGTTGCAGGGACCTGGTCTTTTCTTTCTTTTAATCATAGCATTTTCAATTACTTTTAATCTTTCTATCTTACCTATAGTCAGGCTTAGGAGTGCCTAGAAAGAAAATATCACTCAGAATGTGAGGGGCCCAGTATGCATGGAAATCCCTGATAGTCTCCCCACTGAAAATAGCCTTTTTCTCCAGCACATCATTTATTCTGTTTGTAATTCCTACTCGAGGTTTGGCTGGGATTCTAAATATGCCATCAGGTGACTTGCCTGTCACCTCATTTCCGAGTAGATCTGTGCCGTACCTTTGTTCTCTCTTTGGATTTACTTTTCTTGAACAGCGTTCCTTGGACAGCTTGATTTGGCTTCTGCATCATTTATTCATAGGCTGCTTCTTACAGAGAGGGTTTGAAGGAGACTGTTTGCTTTGATTTTTATCTGACTCCTTGACTATTGTCATGATGGAGGGGGCTGGGACCCAACAGATGCCAGGGACCAGAAGGGAGGCAGGGCCGGCAGGCTGGTGGGTGGGCAGACTGGCGGGATCTGGAAGCTCACAGCACTGTGGCTCCGGCCAGGCCAGCTCGGGCTGGGCTTGGGGCTGACCGAGGCCTGGCCCCTCACGCCTGTGATTTTTATTAGTTTCCTGCACCAGCTGCCGTTCTTAGAGCAGGACGCTGAGGTTCAGTGTGGCTTGCTGGTTTCCCCTAAGGTCTCACAAGAGGTAACAGACTTGCATCCAGACCTGAGTGCTTCCAACTCCATTGTTCTGCTGAGAGAACAACCCTTTATAAAGGTAGAGCTTAGATTTCTGATAAAGGCAAAGAAAGTAAGAACAAGAAGCAGCCCAAACCTGTGTGTATTTCCTGTTACTTGAAGGAAGCTGGTCACCATCGTGATGCTACCAACATTGCTTCAACCATCTCTAGATTGTTCTGTATAAGGAAAGTGTGCAGTGTTTGTTGAGTCGGATTTTTAAGTACATGCATCGAGCAGTTCTTCATGGGCCAACCATATGTGTGTTTTTTTTTGTTACGACTCCTGTCTCTTTTAAAATTTTTTATTTTTCTTAGTACCTGTTCATGTCTCTTGTATTCTTTGCAAACTTCTGCAGAGAGGTGATTGTATTTCTCCTGTAAAAACCCGAAGCCTGAGAGAATGAAGCCACTTGTCTGAGGCTCTTCTGTTCATTCCTTCTCTGGGTTGCTTGTTCACATGTGCGGCACTTTGAAAACAGTAACCAATCAGTCATTTCAGCAGGTCTTTGCCAAGCTTCCTTCTGTGCCAGGCCCTGGGGTGGTCCTGGCAGGCTAGTGGTGAACAAGAGCCTTGGTTTTGTCCCTGTCGAGTGGACACAAGCAGAGTACCCACACTGCACATCGCGATAGCTGTTTGAGTCCATGCCATGTGGTGGAGCTGAAAAGGGGCAAAGGGTACCATGACACAAGCCTGCAACCCCAGAACTCGGGGAGGCTGTTTCTCAGTATGAAGGCCCTGGGTTCAATCACTAGGATTGGAAAAAAGAGGCCCTGCCCCTTTCTCGGGGGCCAGGAGGGCTGTGAGCATTCGAGGATCAGAAAGAGGAGCAGGCCAGGCTGGCAGGTACAGGGCACAGGGGAGGGAGGGTCCTGCAGAGCTACTGAGTGGCAGCGTCACCTCTGCTCTGGGTCCTACAGCCCGGGGTTATCTTCTGACACTCAAGGCTGCCCAAGACCTCTCTTATCCCTGTAAATTTGATGCCTTTATATTCTATCTCAGCTTGCGCAGCAGGCATTCTAGGTGGGCAGGGACTCTCCATCCCGCTCATGGTTTGTCCCCAGGGCCTCAGATAGTGCCTGGCACATGTGGCCGATGCCACTAGGAAGTGGTAGCCTTCTTAGAAAGTCCTTGCAGTTCACTTAGAGACTCTGAGGTTACCATGCAGATTAGGAAAAGGACTAATGTCATGCAAGCCAGAAGACAATGGCCAGATGTGGTGTAGCCTCAGAGGCCACCGAGAGGTCTTGGGGATGTCTGGCCGCAGCTGGGACACCCTGGCTGGGTGAGATTCTGCTGGAGGAGGGGCCAGGCACAAGCAGAGCCAGCGCCCCTCACGCTGGGAAGACAGGAGGTCATGCGCAGCAGGTGTGTGGCCTGGGGGGGCACATGTGACGCACCTGCTCGATGCTTCTCAGTTAAGGGCAAGGTGAGGACACCAGGGCAGAGAAGGGGAGGGGGAAAGTCAGGCACAGTCCAGGGGTCCCCTCGTTTCCCTAGAGAAGCACAGGGATTTTGGTCACACTGAGTGTCCCTGTGCAGCTGGGGTCCTGTGGCTGTTCCAGGCACCTTTCCCTCTGTGGCCTGGATGGACTGGGTGTGGGGCCCATGGGAAGGAACTCAGGCTGAACATCCGGGCAGCGGGGCTTGAGTCCCAGCACTGCCTCTTGGGTTTCTGTGACAATGGGGAGACAGTGCTCACTGCACATGGGTCAGGCCAGGCCCAAGGCCAACCCAGCGCTCTGCACGTTAATGGCTTTTGCAGGTGAGGGAGAGGACAGGGAATGTCCTCTGGCTGTTGTGTCACGTTACTGGGTCCTCAGTGGCTTGAAACAGCAGAGGTTTCCTCTTTCCCAGTCCCAGGCCTGAGTCAGTTCCGCTGGGCTGAAGTCGAGGACTGAGCAGGGCCACACTCTCTCTAGATGCCCTGAGGACAAGTGCTCCCGGCCTCTTCCAGTTTCTGGTGGCCGTGGTGGCCAGATGGGTGACAGATCTGTCCAGAGACCCCGTGTCCATCTCCTTCACGTCACTGGATCCGAAAGACTCCTTCTCCTCATAGGGTCCCATCCGGAGGTTCCAGGGATGAGGCCCTGAACTCTCTGGGTTGTTACTCAAGGAAGTGACCATGAAACCTGAAGAGAATGAGGAAGCGGTGGAGCCATGGGAACAGTGGAGGAAGGGTCGTTGGCTTAGTGAGGTGAGTCATAAGATTGCTTCTGGGATGTTCCTGAGGATTCTGCCTGACAGTGGCATAGTGGGGAGGTCACCTTTCCATGAAACCTTGGCTGGCCAGGGCTCAGAGCCAGGCCTCTGACTTCAAGCCTTCCTCATTCTCTGCAGAGGTTATGCAAGAACCTCCTGTTCCCAAAATAATATGTAAAGGATGTCCCAACTTGGGGTGACATGGTTCCCTTAATTATTGTTAACAGAGAAGAACTGAGATCCAGAATGAATCTCCTTGACTTAAAGACCTAAGACATTCACCGCATTTCTCCCTCCTCCCCAAGTCGCTGCTCCGCCCACTTGCTCTGACTTGGCCCCAGTGTGGCTTCCTTCAGCAGCGGCAGCAGCATCTGGGGCTGCCTGGGGTGGGGGAGCCTTTACACCTTGTTCTTCGTTAGGCTGCCCTCCAAGTCAAGGTTGTGTTCCGAGTTTTCCGTGTGGGAATCCATGAGTAGCCCAGCTCCAGGCACTGTGGGATGTAAGGAACCGAAGTAAACCCTGGCAGTGACGCAGTGGCCCTGGGCCGTGGCTGCTGCAGCCCTGTCTGGGGGTGATCCTTAGTCAGCATCTTCACTGGGCAGGCAGGCAGGGCCCTAGGGGTTGAAGAAGGGCCTCCCCATCCCCCTTAAGGAGGTCGGGGCACACACAGTCCAGTGGATTGTGATGTCATCTGACATCGACTCTCCCCCCTTCCTCTCTGGTCCTCGCATCGGGCCCCATCGCTGTGTCTTTCTGGACCTCAGACGCTGACCCTATGCCTGTCTCTGACCTCCAGGCCATTCTTTCCACACCAGCCAGAGGAGTCTTTCCAGTGACTCTTCCGGCCGCCTGGTGCTATAAACCTCTGTCAGCTTCCTGCTGCCCTTGGTACAGTCCTACCCTCAGTTTGGCTTCTGAGGGCCTGTGTCATCTGCTCAGGGCCACACGGCCTGGACTGGAGTTACTTGTGTTCATGTGATCACAGTTCTCAACCTTCCAGAAGCGTGTGGAGGAATCAGTGAAACCTGTACTACAAAGGGAATTTTAGGGAGGCAGGTACCAGGTTCTTCTGAGGAGAACCTCTCTATCGGTCTGAGCTTGGCACCTACCGGGACCACCTGCCTGGGGAGACAGTTCGCCCTCATGCATGAGTGTGCAAAGCAGAGAGGTGGGGGAACCCTTGGCACGGAAGATACTGAGGGAATCTGAGTGCTGGTGGGGACGATGATTTAGCTGATGTCCAAGGTTTCCATTTCTAAAAGCGTCTTTAAATTTTCCATCCTTAAGCTTCTTTCCTGTGACATTCTTTGAATCTTCAGGTAGAACACTCTGTCTTTCAAAATAGAGTTTATCTACTCAGACATGCCTCTATCCATCCATTCACCTACGCACCTCTCTCCCCACCACCCACCCACCCTTCCTTCCACGAAACCACCTAGCCATCCATTCATTTACCCATCTACCCAGCCATCCATGTGTTTGTTCTCATCATCTTCTTTACCATAAAGAATGATACTGATGAAGCCTGTGGCAGGCATAACAACAGCAACCACAATGAGAAGTAACACTTTTCTACTTTGTGTTTTGTGCCTGCTGTTGTGACGCAGTGGGGCAGAGGGTAGAACAAGGATGCAGGTGCCTCATGTCACAGGTTCAATCCCCAGATCTGCCACTTAACAGTTACATGACTTTGAGCGAGGATCTTTAATTTTTTCTTGCCTAGTTTCTTCAACTGTGAAAAACAGGTTAATCACCATCCTTATAAAATTAATGTGAGGATGAAATGCATAAGTTATGTAAAGCTATTAAAACAAAGCCTGTACATTGGAGGCTTACTATTAATCCTCTCAGTGAGGTCCATTTGATGTGGTGATCCCAGTCTCACGTTACCTAAGGAAACGAGGCTCAGGGGTGTTACTGACTTGCCTGAGCGAACCCAGTTCCTGAGGAGTGAAGCTGAGATTGGAAGCTAAACGGGGGTGTCAAGCCTGCGCTTCTGTGGGGGGTAAGATCACACCCCCCACCCGGAAATGATTGGCTGTGCTTGGTAGAAAGTCAGGAGGGAAGTTCACAGAGGACTCGAGGTGGGAAGGGGCGCTCACATCCCTTCCTCTGTTCCTGAGCTGCCTGTCCTGTTGGGTGTGGCCAGAGAGCAGACGGGGCGTGGGCAGCTGTATGGAACTCTCAGGATAGAGTTTGTGCATCCATCCCCCAAGGAGTAGCTCAGTGCTTGGAGACAGAGCGCCCAGTCTGACTTTTAATCATAAAGTCTAAGAGGGGAAATGTCCGGTGGACAGACGGAAACTGCAGACCCCTGGTATCTTATGGTCTATTTGTGTTCATAACAGCTCAATGGTTACCCTGATGCATAAGTTTTACTGATGCTTTGCTCACATACAGTGGTTATTTGTATCCTTACTTATTTAATTATTTTTTGAAGGTTTTTTTTCCACATTGCTTCAAACGATATTCATTTATTTTTATTTGTACCCTTACTTAACCCCCAGCTACAACTTAGGCACTGACCATCTTCAGGAGGTATTTTCCCCAAATTTCTATTGTTCAGGCCCTCAATTGGACAGGCTGTAAATGTGATTCCTGGCCCCAGCATGCAGTCTTGGGGAATTATCTGTCCATGAAAGTTGGCTTCTGATGAGGATATTCCAGTCTCACTAATTCTGAATTAGTTTTTGTAGTTTTACTCTGCTTACACCAGCAACTTGAAGATGCTAGATTTATATGTAAAAAGGGCTATGGTTCTTAAGGTCTTCTCCCAGTTGATGATCATGTTGATTAAATGTTTAAATGAACATTTACTGCCCTGTGCACTAAATTTTGTCCTAGTTTTAATCTGACACCTTGCTCACCATTCAGTGAGAACTTGATTAATTTTTATATGAGCCAAACAAGAAAAAAGACATTAATGTCATGCTCCCTCTCTTTTTATCATCAATAGCTAATCAAAGTATTAATCAGCTCTTAGATAATTTAAGCTGTGCCATTTCTTGTAGAAAGATGTTATCGTGGCGAGCCCAATCATCAGTGTAATGGTCTACGCTTAGGAAGTGCATCCTACATGCTGAACGTGGCTCCACACTCCTGTAAATTCTGTCATTTACAAGAGGGATGATCCTCCTACAGTTTGTATATGCACAGACCTGGGCTGAGCAACTATGTTTGTCTTCTAAGTCCAGGGACAAAATGACGTTTTTGTGACCTGAAAAAAAAAAAAAAAGAAATTTCCCCAGGAAAGCAGTATGTGGATGCTGCCAACTCTGCAAGTTTTTTAAATAGTGAAGAAGTTTAAGAATCAGAGCCCAGCACATGTGGCTCAGAATGTCTTAGTCTGCCTTACGGTGTCTTTAGGGACTTTTTTGGGGAAGGAAAAGTACAGTAAGTCCCCAGTTTATGAACAAGTTCCATTCTGGGAGAATTGTTTGTAAGTCAGATTCATTCCTAAGCCAACAAAGTGAGTCCTACCCAGTGTACCTGTGAAAGTTCGCAACTTAATGTTTGTTAAGTCAGGGACTTACTGTCCATGTATGGGGTGTCATCAAATTATGGGGGCTGCTTATATTTTAAAAAACTTATTATAGTAAAAGACACAATGCCATGAATCGCTCCCAGAACACTCCTCCTGTCTTCAAGAGCACTCATCCCATCATTCTTGCCCCTTTCTGCAGCAGCTCTGGAGTCCTCTTTCAAGAGTGTCTTTAGTTACACTATCATGGCTGCCTTGCTGTCTAGAGTCATTTCAAAACTTTAACAGCAATATCTGTCAAGTTGGTGTATCCTCATCCATCTTATTCACTGGATCTGGTACAGTGTGACTTCTGGCTCTTCCTTAAAGTCAAAATGACCATGAAATGTAAATGTTTTGAAATGACCCAGGACATTGAGGCAGCCATGACAATGCAACTAAAGACACTCATGAAAGAGGACTTCCAGAGCTGCTGCAGAAAGGGGCAAGGACAATGGGATAAGTATGGTTGAAGTGAGAGAGTTTTCAGGGATATTTGGTTTTTTGGGGTTTTTTTGGTACCGGGGATCGAACTTGGGACCTTGCGCTTGTGAGGCAGGCACCAGAACCACCGAGCTAAGTCCCCAGCCCTTTTTCAGGGATATTAATGGCAATGTGTCTTTTACTGTAATATTTTTTTATTTTTAATTTTAACATTCATCATGTTTCATTGTCATTAAAAAGTGCCACTGGGGGGCGATGGAAAGTTGCATCTTTGCCAGTGAACCTAATCCTATCTGTATGCAAGTGCTGAATTCTTAATATTTATTTTCTTCTGAGACCATTTGGGAAATAAACAGATGAGAGTTTCATTAATAGCATGGTATTTTAATCAATTTTCAGGGCCGTTTTTCTTCCCTTCGTGGCTCTGGGACACAGTTTTTCTTGCTGCTCGTTCTGAGAGCGTATCCATCATGATTGACACCAGAACTGCTCCAACTGCAGGTGGCTCTGCAATGGTCTTCCTGGGCCGCGGGGAAGGGGAGCTGTGTGCTCTGCTATTCTAAACCCAGTGTCCCGGGAGACCAAACAATAGAGGAAACTGTTATTTAGAGCCAGCAGAATGGCAGGCTGTGCTGTGCAGTGTGTATTTTAAGCCCCGAACAACGCTTGGAGGGGGATCCCCCATTACTCCGTGGGGAAACTAAGTCCTGTCCTGAGTTTCTTTAGCAACTAAGCGGTTTGGCAGCAAACCACCAGTAAAGTACCTGGGAAAGTACCGCCATTTGTCCAATACAGGCCACCGTGCCTTCCCATGGAAGTTAGTAAGTGGATTAAGGAAGGAAGGATGTGTGTATGGAGTGGCTAAAGAATAGCAAGGTGTTAAGAAGCAACTAAATGATGTGGGGATTTTAAAGAAAGGTGAGAATTATTTTAACAAAGTCTGTTTGGACAGAATTCTCATGGTCTCAGCTTTCCAAGCTTGATGATTGGGATTGCTTCCCTGCTGGCACAGGAAGGCCGAATTTCACCTGACAGTTGTACCTCCTGCTTTTGAAACACAGCACGAAGATCAACCTGATCTTGTACCTGCTTGTATTTGTTTTCAAAGTGCCTTTAACTTAAAATAGTCAGTATGCTAAAGCAGCACATTTTGGGGAGACGTGTTCTGCTACCTCTTAGCAGCAAGGTTAGGTAAATATAAATAGATTACTAGAAAGGCAGACATACACATCTACTTCCCTGTCTCTCTGTTTATCTGCCTATCTGCTTATCTGTCTCTGTCTCTCCCTGACCGTTAAAGCATGTTGAGGTATTTGCAGGTAAGATGATCAATTTGCTTTAAAATGTTCCAAAACATTGAAGGGAGTAGATAAAATAAGAGCAGTAACCATTTTTAAACCAGGTAACGTTAGAGTCATACTATTATCTCTACTTTTAAATGCTTAATATTTCTATAGTATTTTCTTTGAAGCCTTATATTTTTACAAGTAGATGCCATTTTCTCCTATCAAATTGTCAAAGATTTTTAATTGTATAGAGGGTGGGATAAAGGAAGGATTTAATGCACTGCTGGGTCACTTTTCCAGAAAGCCATTTTATTTTTCAGGGGGTTGTGAAATGGTGCTAACATTTGACCTTCTGATTCTATTTGTGGGATTCTGTACAGAGAAAATTATTGTGGATATCAAAAACTCTGTACAATGATGTTTACTTCATGGTTATTTTAGATTTTAAAATTTGCAGGTAACCTGAATGTACAGTAGGAGAACAGTTAATTGAATGGTGGTATATCAGATGGTGGAAGATTTGCAGCCAATACAAAGGAAATATACAGTTTTAAAGATGCCTGTTACAACGTTAATTGGGAAAAGGAGGACACAGTTGTACTTACAACTATACAGATAGTGTACATTTGTGAAAAAGACATACATGAAAAGAAACAGTGGAAAAATGTTGCAAAATGTCTTCATTGATTGTAATTCAGTGGTGGACCCACAGCAAATAAAGTCTTTTTCTATATTCTCTACTTTCCAGATTTTAAAAATTATGAACATAAATTTTTTCTAGCTTTTTTAGAAGTCTAATTAACATACCATAAGCCTCACCTATTTATGAGTGTAGTCTGGTGTGTATTATAACTGTATACAGTCATACCATCACTAACACAATTGTTTTTAGATGCTATGACCCTGTGAAGCATCTCATAAATATTTCTCAAGTAGACTTTATTTTTAGATCAATGTTAGATTTATAGGAAAATTCAGATGATAACACAGGAATTCCCATACATCTTGTACCCATGTTTCCCCATTATTAACATCTCATATTAATAAGATACATTTATTAGCTTCCCAGACTGGGACAAAATACCTGATATACACAACTTACAAGAAGAAGGAGGGGCCCATGGTTTCAGAGGTTCAGTCCATGGTTGACTGGCTCCCAGGAAGAACCATCATGGTGAAAGCATGGGGGAAGAAAGCTACTCAAGTCCTGGCAGCCAGCAGCACAGAGAGAACAGGAAGAGAGCCACAGAGAGAGGAAGGGGCCCAGACAGGATATCCCCTTGAGGTACACTGCAGTGACCTACTTCCTACAATGGGAGCCCACCTCCTAACAGCACATTCAGCTGTGAACTCAGCAGTGGGTACATTTGGGGGACATTTTAGATCCAAACCACAACAGTACATTTGTCACAACTAACAAACTAAATGCCAATACATTGTTATTACCTAAAGTCCATACTTTGTTTAGATTTCCTCAGTTTTTAGTTTGATTCTTTTTTTCTATCCCAGGATCTCATTCAGGATATAACATTACATGTATGTGTCATATCTGTAACTTAATTTTTAATTGGAAAAATGAAAAATAAACTTTATTTTAAAATCCTTAAATATATTAGCTCTCCTCTTCCCTCTTGGTCTTGTAGTTGTTGACTTGTTGACAAAGACCATGTTTTATATTAGTTCTATCCCTATGGTTCCTGGCATCTTAACTTACAAATTTACGCAGTAAGAATCTGCTCATTTAGTGACTGGCCTTCAATAACTAGATGGAGCAGAAGGGAGAAGGGAAAAGAAAGAAGAGAAAGGAAGAAAGAAAGGCCTAACCTGTGAAGCGCAGGCGCTCTGAGGGACTCTGGTTTCTCTTGTGGTTTCATAGAATAGAGTTCTTTTGACCTCTGTGTTTCCCAGGTTGGAGATTGCAACCCTGAATCGGGCCGATGCAGATCTGGAGGCTTGTCGAACCCAAATCAGCAAGGATATCATTGGCCTTCTGCTGAGAAGTCTGACCAGTGGAGGTCACCTCTCCCCCCAGGTGGAGAGGAGGATAGGTTCTGTTTTGAAAAAACAGTTTCTGCTTCTGGAAAATGAAGTACAAGAAGAGTATGATCGTAAGATGTTGGCATTGACAGCTGAATGTGACCTGGAAATGAGAAAGAAGACAGAAAACCAATACCAGAAGGAGATGGTGGCAATGGAGGAAGCAGAAGAGTTGCTGAAATGTGTTAGTGAGAGGGTAAGGCAGCACTGAAGGCATTCACGTGCCTCATTTCTCCTCAGATATTCATCATTTACTCATTCACCCATCTGTCCATCCATCCACCCATCCACCCACACATCCACCTATCCACCTATTCACTGATCCACCAGCTCATCATCCACCTACCTATTCATCCATCCCTCCATCCATCCCTTTTACCTACCTACCTGTTCATCCATTCATCCACCTACTCATCCATCCATCTCTCCTGGATTCATTTAGCAAACATTTAGTGATCACTTACTATTTCACAGGACACTGGAGTAGGCCCTGTAGGTACTGAGTAAAATAAGACATAGTTCTTGTGTTCAAGGGGTCTGTAGCCTAACAAAGGATCCTCACAAATGAAAAATGAGCCATGTTATAACAGCTTTCTGTGGTGTCCTGGGAGGTCCTGGGCTGAGTGGAAAGGCACTGTTTGCAGAGGGCATGGTTCCCAGATGATGGTGACGTCAGGGTGCAGATCTGTCTTTGGGCTGCCGTCAGTCTGCTAGGTCACCGTTCTCTCCTCCACAGACCTGGTGTCAGACAAACTGGATTCCCATGTTTCTGCTTCTGCTCCTGGGAGCCGTACTCACCTTTCCAAGTCTGACTGCACATATCAGATGGGCTGGGAGAAGGAATACAGAAGGAGCAGCCACCGGGGCCTGGCTGCAGATGGCACTCAGTGTGGGTGCTCAGTTCTGAGGGTGCTGGGTGCTGAGCATCCCCAGGGCCACTGTGCTGGTCAGAGAGCAGCTCCGTCTTTCAAAGGAGGTGCCCATCGCTGCCTTGGAAGAAGCAGAGTAGCCCAGGTGTGCCAGATCCAATCAAGCCTGGCTTCTGTCTTTTCCTGAGAGAGAGTCGGCTTGTTCAGTCCATGCTCAGCCTTAAGCCTGCGTGTCCTGTTTGGACACCTGGCATCTGAAGGAGGCCTGACAGCTGCTTAGGAGCAAGTTTCTGAGCTCAGTGTCCACGTCCCTTTTGCCAGCTAAACACAGGGTTTCCCAGAAGCTGGTAAATAGCTCTCGGGTTGCCAGCTTGTGGGTCAGAAGAGGTCACTTATCTCAGACATTGCCTGGGCAGTAAAGACAGAGCTGACCCTCCCTGTCCCTGACCTGTTCCCTTGCACCTGGGCCCTTCCTTGCCATAATGGTGTCTTGCTTTAGCCTGTGACTTGGGTACTGTCTGGTGTTGGTATTACTTTCCTATGGCTGCCAGAAGAAATTACCATTGATTGGTGCCTTAAAAGAACAAGCATTAATTTTGTCATAGTTCTGGAGGCCAGAGGTCCAAATCAAGGTGTGCTGGCCAGGGCTGTGTCCATCCCAGGTCCCAAGGGGAGGGTTCTTCTTTGCTTGATCCAGCTTCTGGTGGGTCCGAGTGTTCTTTGGGTTATAGCTGAATCACTTTGATCTCTACTCCATCTTCACATGGCCTTTTTCCTGGGGCCCTGCCATCTCCTCTTCTGCCTCTTATCAAGACACTTGCCATTGCATCTAGGGATCGCCCAGGTGTCATTGGATTTAGGGTGCATCAGATAACCCAAGATGATCTCCTAAGAGCAAAGCCCTTTCTTCCAAATGAGGCCACGTTCACAGGTTCTGGAGGAGGACCTGGAGATAGATGGCAGGGACCACATAATTCATCCACCTCCAGCCTCCCTGACCGGCCCTGCTCTCTGCTTCATGCTGCTGTCAGAACTGGGCAGGTGATGAACACCATGTTTCCCTGAGCCTGGCCCTCAGGACAAATGTATGGAAAGCCCTGAATGATCTCACCACCTCTCTCTTTCTTTTCTAATTTGTTAGAATTTTTTCCTGTATACAGTGTACATGCTCAAGTACTTCAGAGCAGCTGTTATCAAACAAACGCCCATGAGCCCAATTGCCCCAGCCTGTTTCTATATGGCCCACAAGTTGAGAACGGTTTTTACATTTTAGAAGAGTTGTGAAACAGCAAACAGATAAAAGTCAGCGAAGAATATGTGACAGAGACCTTCTGTGGCCTATAAAATCCAGAAGATTTATCTGTCTCTTTGCAGAAAAGTTTGCCAATTAAGCCTAAAAGGACAAAGAAATCTGAAAATAAAATAGTCAAGTGAAAAGCATCCAACCACTGAGCAGCAGAGGCCCAAGCATTGGGCCACCGACTGCCTTCCGGCTGTGGGCCTCACACAGACCCGCAGTGTGGGTTGGTGCCCACTGCCCCACGTTCCTGCGTACCTCCCAGCCTCGTGTAGGTCCATGAATATGTGGTTTATACCATGTGCATAATTACATCTTGCCCATTTTCACTTTGCATCACACCATAAACAATTTTCTGATTCTATTAAATCCTTTTAAAACTATGATGCAAAGCAAAAAGTTCGAATTTACTTAGAGCTGCTTGTGTGCTGGACATCAGTCTACGCACATCGAGTGGGAGAAATTCCACTTTGGCAAGGAGACTGGGACATGAAGATGTTGTCCAAATCCTGCAGGTGGCGCCAGGACTCACACCCAGGCAGTCTGCCCCTAACCACTGCATCCCCATGGCCACCCTTGTACAGTGGAATGTTGTATCCTTGTGCTGTGTGCTCCGTGTTAACCCATGCTACTGGGCATCTGTAGTGTTGCTAGTGCTTTTGCTACCTGAAGACGACCTGAGGTGCCAGGTTTGTTGGCAGGGGTGTGGAGGGCAGGAGTTGGTACTGCCTCTGCTTCCATTTCTGCACCTGGTCCCTACCCTTCTCAAGCTCTGAACCTGTGTTCTGCAGGGCTTGCTGCATCCTCTCCTGCTTGGGTCCTGTCCCTATTGCTATGCACCAGGGGACAACACTGCTCTGAATCCCAGGGGGTCACCAAGGGCACACAGACTGCCTTATTTGAGAAAATCTGCTTCCAAAAATAGCATCTGAGCTACAAAAATTAATAGAAGTCATTCCCTTCCCATCCATGCAGCTGCCCCATCTCATAGAAACCACATTCTTATACTATCTGCCACATGGTGTGGTCATTTTTAATAAGATTCAGAGAAATATTTTGGATATATTATTCCACCAGATTTAGTTTAAGGGGCAGGGGAAGGAAAGTAAATAGCATAAGTGTTTTGGAGTAAAGTTTAAGAATTCAGTAATGAGTATAAAGATGAAAATCTGTCTATGTTTATTTCTTCAATTTATATTTTTTATTAGCACATGTTGGCAGCACATAATGATCACTGTCTTAGTTACTTTTCTCATTGATGAAATAAAATACCCAACACTCAAAGTTGAAGGAGGAAAAGTTTATTGTAGCTCACAGTTTTTAGAGGTTTCAGTTCTGTATTGGCTGGGCCATCACAGAGGAGAAACAGTTAATGGCAGGAGGGCAGAAGACAGCAAAGCAGCAAGAAGCAGCAGCAGAAGTAGAAAGAGGGGCAGCAGTAGCAAGTGACCATGGCAGCCCTTTTTTTGTCCCTTGTATTCCATCTAGGCTACATGCCCGAAGGGCAGGTAGCACTCACACCCAGGATGGGGCACCCTTAATTCCAGCATTGCACACTTAATCTCAGCATCACATCCTTAATCCTAGCATCTCACACCAGCTCCAAAAAGGCCCACCTATGACTGGATGAGGACTTGGGAGCCATCTAAATACAAGCCATAACATTCTGCCCCTGGCCCTCCAAAGACTCATGTGGTTCCCTTTATACTAAAGGCATTTAGTCCATCTCTAAGTGATGCCAAGGTCCTAACAGTTTCAGCATTGTGAAAAATTTAAGTCCAAAGTCTCCTCTGAGATTTAAGGCAAACTCTTAGCTGCAGGTCCCCGTACAAATGAAAAGAAAGTTAAACACGTCTAATATACAGTGACACAAAATAAACATTACCATTCCAAAAGGTACAAAGAGGGGCATAGAAAAGAAAGGGACCAGAGCAAGTCCAGTACCCAGCAGGGCAAACATTAAGTCCTACAGTTCCATGTCTAGCATCCAGGACAGTCTATGGCAAATTCCAGCGGGCTTGGGTGGCTCCACCCCTCTGGCACTGCAAGTGATTGGAGCTCTCACAGCTTCTCTCTTGGGCTCGCTTTGCTCACTCCTTTCTACTTTCCTCAGGTGATCCATGTTTCTGGCTTCTTCAGTCTTCTGGGGTCTCCACCGCATCTTCAGCTTCACACTGACAGCTTCACACGGTGCCCCGTCAGGGGCACACTGCCTGGCCTCCCAGGCCTTCTTCTGAGATCTGGTTGGAAGACTTCCCAACCCCACATTTCTTGCATTCTGCATGGACTTAAAATCAGCACCACACGGATGATGCCAGGGCCTGCCGCCAGCTGGAGCAGTAGCCAGGCTTTCTTCTTTCTTGGCTGTAGAGGTCAAGGGCTTGGACTTCTGAGCACTGTGAACCCAATCCTGAGGAACAAATTCTCTAGGAAGCAGCATCACATCTTTAATCCCAGCATCACACACCCCAGATCCAGCCACCTCTGAAAAGCCCCACCTATGGCCACATGAGGCTCTGGGGGACATCTAGACACAGCCTTAACAGTCGCATTTCTCTTGGGGAGCTGGTACATGCACATAACACATTTTCATCCCCTTCTCTTCTCTTCCTCTTCCCTCCTGTTTGCTATTCTCCTTTATTTTGCTCTTTATGGTTTTCAAGCCCATCTCTCCCGAGAGGCCCCAGGCCAGCCGGGAGGATATAGACTCAGAAGGCTGTTGCCTGGGCTTGGATCGCCCCTTCATACTTAAAAAGGCACACAGGTGGGTCTCCCCGGGCTCCTTCCCCTCTGAAAGTGGGGATGAGGTTGGTGCCTGTCTTGGGGCTGTTTTGAGAAATAAGTTAGTGTTTGTAAAGAACTTCAGCTGGACGGGAGAGGCTGCCCATGGCACTGCCAGTCTCACAGGAGCTGCAAGGTCCAGGTGCTGTTGCAGAGCAGGCTGGCTGCAAAACGAACTGTGTATCTTAAAGAGCTAGAAGAGAGGATTTTGAATATTTTCAACTCAACAAACAACAAATGAAGAAAGATATTTATTTAATCCAATTTAAACATTTATCATGTTTACATGTTTCAAATATCGTATGGTACCTCATTCACATGTACAATTTTTATGTTTTTCTGAATCAGCTGAAATTTAAAAAGAAAAGAACAACAAAGAACTCTAATGCCTGGCAACAACATCAGCTTTGTCCAGATGTTTGTTGTGGTTCATAGTGTCAAATCATTTTTTTAAAAAACGTCTGGGATGTAGAACAGTCAGTGTGATGTGTTTCCATTGGGATTGGGGAAACCGAGGCCCAGGTGGGCAAGGCCTTGCAGCCTGGCTTCCTGCAGCCACCCACTGGTGTGCAGGGCAGTGCTCCTCTCTGGTCCCGTCCTAAGGACAGGAGGCTGTGTGCATCCCGCCCGGGCTGCCTGAGGCTTCCTGACTCCCTTGTGAGGAACTTGAAGGAAGATTCCTTGTGCATAGGAACTCTTCCGTTTTAACCATCTCTGATGGATTTATTTTTATAAAACAGTTCTACAATTTGCCTGTCTTGCTAAATTGAGCACAAGGAGCATAATGTAGCACAGTCATGCCTTCCCGCATGGTTCCCCATTTTCCAAGGTGTGGAGTCAGCATTATGCATAGCACTTGCCCTGGGACGGCCGGCTCATCTGGAACGGAAGTGCCCCCATCCGCACCTCCTCTCCCGGAAACTCCCATAGGGAGCTGGGGGTCAGTGGTCACTATCTTAGCTTTACTTCAGAAATGCACATAGGACAATATTTAAAACAGAGTACAAATCCAGATGGCCTGCTTCTTTGAAAGAAGGGGAAGATTTGGCCACGTTGGGCCCTGGTTCCCTCAAGGCCTCCCTGGCCAGGCTGACTGCAGCTGCCCTGGCTGTCTGCACTCTGCCCCAGTGCTCACCACCCTAGCCCCTTACACACCAGACCACCCCCATCCTCCCTGCACGACCTCCCTGCTCGCACCCCTGCTGAGGGCTTGCTGCTCCCACCTGTACCCCTGTACCGCTGGATGTTGAAGAAGGCCAGGGCTTGAGCACATTTCTTTTTTCTTTTTTTTTTTGTATTAAATTCTTTTATTGGTACATTGTAGGTATGAAACACAATTACATTTCTCATTGGGAATTGTGCCTTTACATGATGCATC